CTTGACGCTATTGATTAGGATGCACCTGGAGCAAAGGCACTTGTAGTTGAAAGGCGGCGAAATCAAATTCGATCGTGTTGCCTTTGCATATCATCCAGAGCGCCCCATTTTCCGAGACATATCGTTCACAATCCCAGCAGGAAAGAAGGTCGCTATCGTTGGACCTAGCGGTTCTGGGAAATCCACAGTGTTCAGACTGCTATTCAGGTTTTACGAGCCAGACGCGGGAAGGATTCTCATTGATGGTCAAGATCTGCGCGACGTTACCTTGGACAGCCTCCGACATTCCATTGGCGTCGTACCACAGGACACACCGCTCTTCCATCAGGACGTGATGCACAATATCCGTTATGGCCGTATATCGGCAACAGACGAGGAAGTTGTGGAGGCAGCGAAGAAAGCGAACGTGCATCACACCATTGAACGCATGGCTCAGAAGTACCAGACGCAAGTTGGTGAACGAGGCCTGATGATCTCAGGAGGGGAGAAACAGCGTCTAGCCGTGGCGAGGGTCCTGCTAAAGGACCCGCGTATTCTGTTCTTTGACGAAGCGGTGCGTTGTACAGTTCGCAGCTGACACATTCACTGATCATGTGTTAGACGTCGGCACTGGACAGTCAGACAGAAATGGAGCTCATGAAGAATATCAACTCTACGCTGCTGGACAAGAAGCGCACAAGCGTGTTCATCGCCCATCGTTTACGTACAATAGCCACAGCTGGTTAGCGTCTTGCACTGTGTCCATGTGGATCTACTGACTGTTTGGTAGACCTCATCATTGTTATTAAAGATGGGTACGTAGTGGAACAAGGCACTCACGACGAGCTCATGCGCGCTGGCGGGCTCTACGACTCCATGTGGTTTGCTCAAGCGAACGACCCAACAGAGTCCGCTCCCATCGCGAAGAACGAAGAGGACGGCAAGGACGAAGGGGACAATGAGGAAACTGATAGCGAAGGGAAGGAATCCGAGGAACGGCCCGCCAAATAGGCCTGCACCCGATTTGGTCTAGGACACCTGTGCACATGTCATGCCTATGAATAAGGAAAATATTGACCACTTGTTGTACTGTGTACGCACTGATCCATGCAATCCACTTCTCACCACGGGGTGATAACAACTCATGAGCCCGCTGGAACGGTATTTTTCACGTGTGGTAGTATAGGACCAGTGATTCCACATCGCCGGAAATATCGGAAATTCAAGTGAGGGAAACTGTCCCCTCGATGGCACGGTAGCGATGCAACTGTTTCGTTTCAACGCAGAGAGAGCAGTGTAAGAATGTCACGTCCAGGAATGCGACCCCAGTCTTCATACCAGCTAGTAATCCTGCACCATACGAGTCAGCCGCCCTCCGAACAGTCGCCGAAAGGATCATGCAGATCCTCTGGCTGGGTGGGGAAGCACATGGTCCCCGCCTCGGCCCGAAGCTACACGCTGCGGGCGGAAAAGAACCACTCCGCGTAAGGTGTATCCTTCTGGACCGTATCTCGGAGGGTGGTTGGGACCGGGCTAGGCACGAAGAGATGACGTGGGGAGATTTGCTCTCTGTGCAGTACCGATGTTGTCAAGAGTGTATGATTGATACTGTAGTGAGACTTTACTTCTTATTCTTGGATTGCATGCGGGTCAGCAACCCCGACGGTTCTTCCATCGGTACCCTGCGCTGCCCGATACCGCTGGCCGATGCACCGTCTGCTGTTTTCTTTCAATCGGGGTTGGGAGAGCATACGAGAGCATATTATATCGCCGGAGTGGTCGTCGCCGCATATTTTGCGGTTAACAGAAGTTTGCGAAGCCTGACAAAGGATCAGAAACTGAAGAACTTGAGTGTGTTATGACAAAAATACAGACTGTCGGTTCCTATGCCCGCTCAGGAACTCGGTACTTGGACGCCGAGAAACTCGTATCATAGTATGATGCAGAACGGGGCGGGATTGGGATTGTCTAAGAAGGAGAGCGCCACAGCCTTCCGTTCGAGGGTTGAGGGGTTCTGATCTGCAGCATGCTTCACCGAGGAAAAATTTTCATGAGTTAGAAGTTGCAGAATCTGGATGGTGAGCTCGGTGAGATGGAGAGATGGTCTGATGGTTGCACGCAAAAAATAGATTGCTATTATGAGGTGGTGAGACTTGTTGTTGGAGGGGATAGACCGATGTCATCCGACCCTTACGAATCAGCGCGTATGAGCTTATTGTGACCGGGCTGATGACGAGGTACGAAATTGAAAAGCAAGAGCAAGCGCTAAATAGTATCGGCAAATGCTTCGGGGCCGTGCGGAGTTGCGAGTCGAGAAGCGGCTCTCTTGAATTGCCGCTTCTTCAAGTATACATCCAGCATAAGCAGGGAATGATCGCCAATGGCGGAAGGACGGAAGGGGGGAAGGCACGGCAATCAGCCTTGTCTCGTAATTGTTCAAAGAACCGGCTGATACACCGACGCTGTGCAGGGGATGACTGGTCAATTTTCATCTCTGTCATCTATGGCAAGCGCAGAAGGTAGGCTTTCCAGCAGTCTGGGGAGGGGATTGAATAGACCGGCTGATTGCTAGTAATATTGTCAAGTGATGGGTTGAATAGGGAGCGCATCTGATGGTGTATGAGAAGCGCACGCGACCGGATTTTGAGGTGAATCGGGATCGGGAGAGGAAGAAACGAGGTGGCTGCCGGTCGGCAGAGTAGGGTCAGATCATAAAGAAGCAGAGCTTCTGATCGGATGCGATCTTGAATTGAAAAGGATTAGAAGCGGATGCGGTGCAGTCCAAGAGGGTGCGGTGCTGTAGGGATGCGGTGCAGGGGAAGGGGGATGATTGTTGGAAAGTTGTGTCGTTGTAGAGATTGTCAGTACGAGTCAGGGCTGTGCGAGGGACTGATGGATTTGGCTTTCGGGAGTGCACTCACGAAGGTAACCTGTCACTTTACGATAGTCGTTGCAAGCGTTAACCGCGTGTCCGACGCCGACGAGCACGGTTTGTTGAGATTCGAACCGAGAGGTAACCACGATGTCATGGAACGGAGATGATGACTGGACGGTGCTCTTCTTTCATTATTTACAAAGCATCATATAAACAACGTGTTTGTTGTGCTGCGTATCAGAATGCATCAACTGAGCGTTTTGGTTGTAAATCCGGGAGTGGGCCAGACACACAAGGGTCGCTTTGAAAGGAAACACGGGATCGAAACAGTGCACATGGCCACGCGTTACAAGGCTGTGCATTGACGGAGGCATTTAGTGAGACGCGGGTTGCACCGCCTCGTTAGAGTGGCGGCGCCTCCAAGGGAATTTACCCCTCTTTCTTTTAACTAACGACCACCACCACCAACAGAGAAGTATAATACACCGAGCTCATCGCCTCACCCTCCCCAGACAGCCAGTTTCCCCCCCTTTCCTCATCTTCCCCCTTCTCTGCCGACGACGACGACAACGACCCTCAATACTTTAGATACAGCAAGCACAGCTCCCTCCCCTGGTGCCTTCTTCACCTGCGAGTCATCGCCATATTCCTGTGCGTATCACCCTCCGTCGCAACCCTCACAGCTCTTACCTTCCTCCTCCTCCTCCCCACTCCCTCCGCATACACGCAGCTCACTTGCTTTTCCGTACACCTGCGCACTGCTTTGCCTGGATCCTCCACCGGCCACGCATAAGTAATCCCACCTCCCCCATCCCCAAAGACAATGGACGACCCCACCACGCGCCTCGGCACCTCTTCGCCGGCACCTAAGCATCTCACAGACGCAGAGCCTTACGAACTTCATCACTACGATCCCGCTCCTTCGCCTCAACCCGGCGCTAACTACTCATCTCCACCTGTCTCGGGCGACCTCTGGTCAAACGGTCAGCAGCAACAGTACGCAGACTACTCTCAGCAACTTGCATATACTTCATCCTACGTCGGGTCCTACCCTGGGTCTGAGTACTCGAACGACTTTGGTGGTCGCTCATTCGACGTATCTGACGACGAGTTCATGTTCGGCCCCCCTAGGAACGTAGACGACGACGCTTCCTCCCAGCACCCAGGCGACGAGTACGACCCTGCTGCATACGACGCTCCCCTTCATAGCGCAGCGCTCAGCGTGGCTTCAGACGGCACACAGAGCATTTTCGAAATTCAGCAGCAATCCCTGGCAGCATTCGCCAATCCCCAAGATTACAGCGGCTACCAACCCGGAACGGGTGGTTCCCCAGCTTCCTCAGCGCGTGCACGCTCGCGGGCCTCTTCTGTCTCCTCTTTTCACGGTCAATCCCCCAGCCTAGCTGCCGCCCAACCCCCGAATCCCATCTCTGACTTTTCCGCGCTCTCTTTCAACCACCCCGCATCTCCTTTTGTCCGCCCGCCCCCGACCCCTCCCATGCAGCGCTCCGTCTCACCGTTCGTTGGGATATCTGAGCCGTCTCCACCTCCCCATCTTATGCCTCAGAGTCCGGGATTGAAACCCCAGAGCCCCCCGCAGCTGATGATCCCTGATGGTACACCAGGTGGCGCTTCTCTTGCACCTCCTCCCCACGCACATACCAACAATGGTCTCCTCGCCGTCGGAGGTCCCCAAATCAACTTGACGCCTGCTACGCCTATCAGCGCGCTTACTGCAAAGCCGGGTGACAATCAGCGCGGATTCCAAGATATTCTACGGGATATCACGAGTGAGTACCGGAAAAGTGACACGCATATACTTGGCCCTGACTCAGTTCTAGCTGGTCGGGGACCTACATCTCAGCAAGGACAGCGGTTCACCAATCAAGCTAACCCACAACATCCCGTTTGGCCTCCTCCTGCATCCCAGCACGCCCAACCACCACTTCTGCCATCCCTTCCACCCTTTGGCGCCCAGTTTGGTAACTACGCCTACGCTCCACGCGTTCGTTCAAAATCTGAGACCATGAATGGTCGTCCCCAGTTCGCTGGTCCACCCCCTGCCGGGTGGGAATGTGCACAGGGGATGGGGATGCCTCCCCAGCAACCTCAGCAGCCAACAACCATGGACCCATCAATCCTCCTCCCTGGCTCCTCCCAATCTCAACAAGGGATGATGGGTGGCTACGGGCAGCCAACAGCGTTCTTCCCTGATCAGCAAGGGATGCCGATGGGTGGCATGGCCGGCCAAGGTCACCGCCGTACAGGATCGATGTCGGGCTCCCAGCCACCAATGGGGTTCATGCCAGGGCATCAGCGCCAATCTCGCTCACTCGGTGGCAGCCCCAATATGATCCCTCAAAATCTCGGTGGCATGCAAGGTTACCTTCCTACCATCAACCCAAATGACGGCACCCTTCTCCCCCCAATGATGCGTGAGGCATCTATGGGTCCTGACCGGCGCGGCAGGAGACTCTCGCATGGCTCAGGTGCATCTACTCCCTATTCTCGCAGTCCCAGCCCAGGAGCCTCGCGTCCGCTGAGGGATATGGTTACCACACCTGCGACAGCTGCTGCCTCTCAAGGCAGACGAACAACCAAGGCAACCTTCATTTGCCCCATTCCTGGTTGCGGGAGCACCTTCACCCGGTCGTTTAACCTCAAAGGGCATTTGCGAAGCCATAACGAGGAGCGGCCATTTAAGTGCCATTGGCCTGGGTGCGAAAAGGGCTTTGCCCGCCAACACGACTGCAAGCGACATGAGGCGCTCCATTTGAACATCCGGCCATTTACTTGCGAGGGATGTGGACGCAATTTCGCCAGGATGGACGCCCTAAATCGTCATTTGCGTAGTGAAGGCGGGAACGAGTGTGCAAAGACTCAGCAGCCGCTCACAGAAGAGAGCGTAGCTGCTGCTGTTGCCGCTGCAGGGTTGGAGGGCCTGCCTAGTGTAGGGCAAATAGAGGGTGCGCTGGACGACTCGGACGCTGTGCCCATGACTGCCCCGTCACTTGAAGGTGATATGGAAAACCTCAGCAAGGCATTGGTCATGTAACCTCTGCCTGTGCCTTGTCCTTTTCCCTTTGTGGTTGGTGCTGGTGTTCGTGTAATAGACGACCGCTGATGAACGCCCTGTTATGTTACTGTCTGCTTCCCGTTATTTCCTAGCGTGTGTGCATGTGTTCACATCCTACATACCCTTGGACAATTCTCCTTTCTAGCGTTCGGCTCCTCGCCTCGTATTTAATGCGACGTGTACTTTCTCGCTCTGCACTGCACTTAGTTCATACAAAACAGCTGTATAGTGTAGTAAATAACTTACGCTTGAATAACTCCCTTACGTGCGCCCGTACCATAGAGAGTGAGGATGAATGTTATGTATTTTAAACAAAGCTTGAGAGTTGCCCAAGTCCTGAATCAAAGCAAGCGAGAACAGTCTTCAAAAGGGTGTGAGCGTCTCAACTGTGGGACGTCGGACCACCTTAAGTACTCCACCTTGGACAATTACTATACGAACGTGCTACGGCGTTGCGCAGCGCTCTCCGGGATACGAAACATCGCGACCAGCGTGTCCCTTAAAGACAAAGTGCAAAGTCAATAGAGATTGTCGTTACCCCTTGCGTCTGTTCCTCAGAGGAAGGAAAGGAAAGTTCTGTGTTGGTGAGTTCACAGCCTTTCGCTTGCAGGGATTGTAAAGGGACGGGATAAACTGGACATGAGGCAGCTCCCGATGTTTTGATCGTATTTATGGACAATCAATGTTGGCAGTACTGTGACACCCGGCGCTCGGACGTCGCCGCCCTCGGCTCCGGCAACCTGTTCCCCCGATCTCGTCTGCGGCTGTACCTCACTAGCTAGTACTTTTTTCTCACGCCGGTCACAGTCCGGTATCCTCTTTTCTTCTCAGAGAAGAGTGGGGTAAAGATCAACGGGGATTTCCCCCGATCCGTGACCCTGTCCGATTGATCCGCGCTCTCCAGGAACCACTTCAAGGAAGTATCACTCAAAGAACCATAGTGCGCGGAAATGTTATTCGGCAGATGGGAAACATCCATTTTGGTTGGGTATAGTGTTTCGGATGAATGTTGGAATGCCGGGGAAGATCTGCCTCTCTGGGTACGCGCACAGCATATCGAGAACCACTTTATCATTTGGTCGCATATGTTTTGCTCTCCTGGCACTTCATCTTCACATTCGCACCACATATAAGGGAATAACGAACATCTACGACGGTAATGAGCATGCTGGCGACTCATCTCATCGTGTGCCTCACGGCCAGAAATAACACCGAAGCCTGCAGGCAGCACACGGCGCGCACACGTTTTTCCGTGCCGGCGTGTCGCCCTCGAAAAGGTAGGGCAACCTGCCATCGATGTCCATGCATTAGGACCGTGGGTAGCACAAGGACTTGCAACAACAAGGGGCTCGGCGGTGCGTTCGGAGAACAGGCACGACAACGGACAAATGCACGAATACCAGCGAGGCTCTGACAAGACACATGTTGTTTACGTCAATCTAATCTCTCCAGCTTGGAGGAGGTACGTAACGCGTCAAAGTCCGTTACATATAAGAATCCCTAATTGTCCAAGTTGGAGGTCTTGTATATGGTCGTCTGATGCCTGGCTCCCGAACTGGTTATCGTATCAAAATTTGAATAGGGATCACCGAGGAAAGGCTGCTTCAGGCGACCTCGGTGTCTGCGGAACGCTCAATCGAGGGCGAGCGCATGAATCGGGCCAACCTCGTCAACTCCGAGCGGAATTTCCCACATGCCAAAGAGCATCATCTCGGCGCCTACAAAAAGCAAGAGTCTCGCCCACGGCATATGCCCGCAGGCGCGGGCTTATCTCTCCTCGCGGCCACGTAGAACACAGAACATTCTACAGCTCGTTCTCCCAGGCCCGGTCCCGGCCAGAAGCCGGTCAATATGCGCTAGTACGGTGCGAGGGCCGGGAGAAGGGAGGCTCCTATTCTGGTAAGCCTAATATGGCGCATGTTGGGGGAAGTACTGTGAGCATATGACCGGATTCAACGCGAGTATATCCGAGGTATTCGTTCGAGTATATGCAGAAATCGAGATGCTGGACGCCGAGGGATATTGAAGTTACATATGGTTGGAGTGCGGTTCACTTCTAAGTACAACCGCCCGACCCGTGTGGAGCGCGGATGCCGACGCGAAGATGGTCAGATATTTTAATCAATGTAGAGCCAAAGTAGATTGTACCGGGCAGTCGCCGGGGACAAAATGGGCATAGCTTGAACAAACCAGCGGAGGCTTGTAGCCCATCTCGCCTTAGCGCGTTCTGTGTTGACGATGCGAGCGTTCCTGAAGTGCATCGCAGACGTAGCGCGTGTAGGATATTCCAAGAAGGGGAAGAAGCAGGCGGACATGGGGTTGATGTCCGGTCCGAAGCGACTGAGCTGAGCGCAAAGAGGAAGATACATACAAATGGACGACGATCTTGGATGATCTTGTAGGTGGTGGGACGATGGCACAGACAACTGAGAGCCCTCGAAATACCCGTTACCGACGGACAGGGCCCAGCCCGGCAGAAGGAAGGAACATTACAGGTACTGTTTTCATTGGGTCATCTGTCATCGATGTACTACTCCACAAGAACCGTCTCGAGCATATATGGTACACTCACAGGAAGTGCGTCTTGGTGACGTACAGAGTACATCATGTTTAGGGTATACCAGGCTAATGTTGAGCGCAAGAAGAGTAGACCGTTGGCGTGGCGTGACGAAGGCAGGGCAAAGTTGTCCGTGCGTGAGTAGAGCAGACTACAGGATACTGCTCGTGTTCATCAACAGCATCGTTTCGAAGAAGCTGTCCTGGCCGTAATCGAGCAAGTCCTCGGTTGCAGGAATTCGTTCTCGCATCCTCTCAGACCTGCGCCTACAGAGGAATATATACGTTCCGTGCAGGGGCTTGCAATCTGGGAGTATACGGAACTGTTCGCTGAGCGTGCGGGGGATGATGGGACCGAAGAGCTTGAAGTTCTTGAGCACGGCCTCGATATCGACGGATTTGGGCTGGAGAACGACGGGGGTGAAGTGGAACCAGTAGCCAAAGGCGGCCCAGAAGGGCGTCTCATTAGTGAGGTTGCGAATTTGATCTGTGCAGCCATGAGCGGCGGGTCCTGAACCGTGCAGGTATCCTGCCAGCTTACATGCAATTAGGATCTGTGGTGGCTGAGCGTTGGTACCCATAAAATCCGGGGAAGTTAGATGCAAGAGAGTAGAAAGCAGAGGAGAGAGGAGATGCGGGAAATACACCTATATGCGTCTGTATTAGCTAGGCTTGTAGCAATACTCCAAAAGAAATAAGACGCACCAGGTCACTGCAGACTATATGCGTCAAACGACGTTTTATCATCTCCCCATTAGACCCTGCACACGGGGGCAGCTCCATCACCCGGTTCGCGGCTGACGCAGCATCGCTTTTCTTCCCCCACTCAAGGGGAAGAACATCGATCTGCGCTGCGTTTGCCCATGCCCTCACGCGAGCTGCGTTCTGCTCGAGCAGGGGCAACACCTCGGGGAGGTCGGTGAGGAAGATAGTGGCGGTATGTGGCAGGAGGCGCGCAATCTGCAACCCTACGACGCCCGTACCTGCTCCCAACTCGAGAATGACATTATTTGCCGCACCTTCGCCTCCTTTCAGGGGGCATGGGGGATCGAACAGCACAGTGAGGTCATCTGGGGGTTGGAGATAGATTCCCAATACGTGCGAGGCTTCCCTGCGACCAAGTCAGCGCATATATCCAGCATGTCAGACATCCACAAGGCGCACCATATCCTTCCAGCGATACCGTACTTCTCAATCCACTTTGGCTCATCGATACTCGCTGGCGAGGGCAGGAAGTCGCGTACGGGGATGGTGCTCGGAGTGAGGGCGATTCCCCTGGGAAAGTTGAAAGACATTGCTGGGATGTCCCTATATTCGAGATAGATGTTGTGCCTTGGCTGGGGTCGTTGCTGATGCTGATGCTGACCAGAGACGTATGAAGGTGGACCTTGCTGGCCCGAAGAGGAGCTAGGTATGCGGGAGAAGCATTGGGGGCGCACGGTCAGACGACGAGCACATCAGGAAGGGCCTCGACGGATCTGCCTCCGCGGTGAGGGACGTACCTGGCATGGGTGGGCCGGCCCTGTCCTCCGGTGGAACGTGACATTCTGCGGGTACGGGACTGCACGAGTAGCGGCGGAGAGGTGGGAGGGAAGGAGCGGGCAACAGATGGCAGACGACGACGAAAGGTTGGTTGATAACGAGCAGACGTGAAGACCTTTTCACCTCGCGGTGGTGGGATGACCAGCAGCGACTGTTTGAGAGGGTTTATATATGCTCGCTGGTTGTGGGGAGGTAAGGGATGTGCCGCTGATGGGTCGCGGGCTCGAGGAGGAGGAGGAGAAGAAGGAGAGAAAGAGAGAAGAGAAGAAGAAGAGAGAGGCAACTAATACCTATCCACACCCACACACGCCGGCAATTGCCTCCCTCTCCCCTCCCCTCTTGCGCCCTCTTCCTTTTTACACTCTCCTTCCCTTCCCATATCCCCAATCCAACATCCCTCTCTTTATTCTTCTTTCTCTCTCATCACTCCCATAAGTTAGGCAGAAATTCATCACTCAACACCGAATCATAACATCGGTCCACATTTCATGTCACGCGTCCCCTCCTGCCGGCTCCACCCCACTTGAATAGTCCCGCAATTCCATCAAGCATCACCCGCAGCCTTTGCTTCTTTCTCCTACAATGTTTGTCAGTTTTTGTATCCACGTATGTCCCCTTCGTAACTCGCCAGCGAAATGCTAACATTTTGGCACATCACACCCTGTACGGCGGGACACACTCATAACTCCGAGGCATCCCCATCTCTGCCATCCCCTGCCCACCTGCTCAAAAATAAACACCCCCATCGTCATACTTCTCCTCTTCCTCTACCTCACTTTCACTCTCCGATCGCTCACCTGACCGTAAGCAATCCCACACCAGAACCAGACTTTCATTTTGCCTTTCTATACAGACTTCCCCTAGACCGGCGCGGGTCGGCTCCTCTTACCTGAGATGTAACCGCGCTCTGCCGTGAAGGCAGCTGCCTTCTTATGCCTTTCCTCACGTGGCCTCTCTCCACAAACTTTTGCTATTCCCCTCCCCAGTTGTCAAGCGCTCCGCCCAAAGCCGGTCCGAAAAGGAAACCATCCGGTTCTGAATTCAAGACCGGCGGAGACCCTGTAGGTTAATGCCGACCCCTGGCTAGAATTGGCCCACCACGCGATCAATAAATCGCAACCATTGGTCCCTGGAGATTACGGGGCGGTTTTGGTAACGCCGGGTGGCCGCACAGGCGCAAGTGCGAATGGAGGAGAGCTGTCCAGTGGTTCCCACACCCCACGCTGGTGATGCGCCCGCCCAGCACCGAATTCCCAGAAATGGCAGAAAATGATCACCAAGATGGCGGCAAAAGTGTAACACAGCAAAGCCGGTTCGCCGGCCATCTCCGACGCCCGTCGTCGGCCAGCGCAGCACCCCAATGGTCGGCGCGTACGTGAGATTGCACGGACCAACCATTTTGAGTTGCCTCGGACTCGGCCGTCTCCCAGGGTTGAAAGGGAAGATTGTGGAGATCTGACTCATTTCCCGCGGCTAGGCGATTCATCGAGCATGCTTATCGGGCGCGCCGATGCCAGCCGATCTGCCTGTTGAATCGGTGCGGGGTAAGGTACTGTTTATTTCCACATGGCTGGTGACTGTTGATATAACACACTTTGGGTAAGTTTGTCGGTCGGCAACGCCCGAAGAGGTCTGGGCCACCCTCAGAACAACATAGGGGCTGCGTTGCCGGCATGTATGTACGAGAGCGCAAAAGTCGGTGCAGAGGAGATGTGCCTTATCCTGCTCGAAGCACGCATGATTTGCCTGGAAGACCAGATTGGGAAGCTTGCTGGTGCCTTCACCCTGGTAGGCATCCTTGCCCAAAGCTGCGTGATGTTCGAGCCGTTTCGAGCCGTGCGCTGTCCTCCATGCTCCGTCGAATTCCAAACATTCGAATTGTTCTGAGTCTTCTCGAGTCTTCACCCGCGGTTCCCGGTCACAACCGCCTATGTCGTCGCGTGCGCGTACTCACATAATAGGGAATCGTGTCGACTGAGCAGTTGCCTGTCTTGGCGCGGGAATTTAACAGAAGGAGGTATGACATTGTACGGCAAGTTGAAATAATCTGATTTAGGGCTTTGAGGTTGCAAGGTAAGAGCAGACACACCTCGTAACGTACGATTGTATTCTAGACCGTCTGTCAAGACCGCGGGTGCGACGGGCCCTCGGTGCGGGGTAACGAGGTACGAATTCTCCCGCAACTTGCGTTCAGGACACCACTCGAGCAGCCCAAATTTTCCTTCGCTAGTTGGTAGGTCTGTCCGGAAGAAAGTCTTCTTCATGATTGTTGTCGAGTGTGCAAGAATATGCGGGATATGAAAGAAAAGATACAGTTAAGGATACAGACCGACTAATCCGGCGCCAAAACCAATTGCAACGACAAAAAGGGAAATCACTCGAATGATCGTCGCGAAAGGAGATTCTTGATTTCACGCCGGGTGCTCAACCAAGCGGAGAAAGTCGGAGCACTAGTGGGATCTGCCATAGACCGTGTGTGGATGAGATAACTTGCGAGAACAATGAGCAATGCGTAACTGTGCAAAGAGGGTGAGTTCACGGCACCGTCCGTACACCCATGGAGCGTACCGATACCTGTGCAATGACAGTCAGAATGACGTCCGACAATGGAAGAGAGGAACTGCCGCTCCACTCACATGTAGTTCATGCCCATCTCAAACAACCGCTTGTGCTTTTCGGATCCTTCGTCAGCGGCATCAACCTTCAGTTTGTAACTGTGTTCGCGCATCAGATTATGTCCGTGCTTCGGAATCCGAAGCGAGCTTACTCGTAAATTGCCTTGCGAAGATTCTGTACGTCGTCGAGGTTGTCAATCACGCGATCCGTTAAGTGCTTCGCGAGCTTTCCGTGCGAAAGGATTCCTACAAGCTGCAGAATGATCTTGTAATCACCTGAAAATGCAGCTCTTTCAGTGTGCAGTGGAGGTCTAGGAACAAGATTCAGACCATTGAGATAGACTTCCTCGTCATGCCCCGTGATCATCGGGTCATTATACTCTTCGTTTTCACGGTATAAACTTGTATCCAGCGAAGCGAGGAGCTTCTTGTCTTGCTTCCCTTGCTGAACAATTGTTGAGATCAGGCTGGCCGCGACCATACCCGTTGTAGTACGACCCCGACCCATTTGGCAATTGAAAATAAGTTCATCACCATCGACCAGAGCAGTCTCCACTCGATCTACAAGTTGGGTAAAACCATCTGGAAGCGGGGCTTGTTCATCGGTCTGAGGTCCTATCAGTGGAACATTGTGGTACAGCGAATCATTCCATCGCACAATAGGGATTCGGGCATAATTGACCTTAAGAACGGGGTCAGCAGTCTCTTTTGAAAGCCATAAGAGCGGTCTCACTCTGTAGCCTTCCTTAACAAGAAGCTCGAATACATCCCTATCTTGGAAGTGAGGGCCTGATCAGCGAGCAAAAGAGCATGTTACCTCGGCGTCATGATGTCGTCTTCTTTCACTGTTTCCCACATAGGGGATACGGCGTAGTTTCCGGTCCCGTCATCGAGCTCGTCGTGTAATAGTATCCGACCACCTCCTTGACGAAGTTCACGGTCGGCATCCTTCTTCAAGTTAACTTCTATTACTTCTACGTCCGCGGTCGTGATTCCAGTGGCCCTACAGTAAGGTCAATTGGGTGCAGGCTGGAACAGGGGTGAACCTACTCGACGTTTTGGAATGGTCGATCCGTGAGTCGCAGAACATGAGGTCTTCCTGCAATGTAAAGCACAGGCTCCTGTTTGGTAAGATCAAATTTGGATAGCCTTGCCTCAGACACGCTTCCCTACTTCTCGCAGTGAAGTCCAATACGCATTTTTCGCCCCTCCTGGCGCTGCTCCAATCCTTGCCAGAAGTTGACGCGCTCTAAGCGAAGGTCGTGAGAGCATGCCAGAGTCTACTAATCCGTAAGAAATACCCTTCAACACTCGGCATACCACTGCCACAGACCATTTTGCCGTCTTGCACAAATTTTCCTTTGTCATTTTCGTTTATTCGGCCATCAACCCGTGGTCGCGCGGTGCTCCCGGGGGCATAGCGAAGAGTCAGCGGGAGTTGCCGGAAGTTCGGTGCGCCGTCAATGCGTCTATGTCATACGTCAGCTGCCTATCACGCGATACGATCTTGGAAACTAGTCACTCTGGCAGAGACATCTTCTGTAGGTTTGCGAAGAAATCGCTCTTAAGAATCGTCGAAGTAGATAGTATACTGCCGGAACGGGCAGCAACCAAGCTCTGCGCTTCATCCGGTAATGCAGCACCGTTAGCATGCTCAACACGTTCCAGCGGCTTGAGAGCGCTGATGCCGTCCGCCTTCAATTCGTTCAGGAAAGTTTCCAAAACGGGCCGATCATGCACAAATTTGCCAAACGAAGCTTGGTTACGCAAGGTGTCAGGTCTTGTCGATGACAAGTAAGCTTGGAAGACGATGAGCTGAAAGTATTTCCGAAGATTGTCCAGTCCTGTTCCAGATTAGAGTCGGCAGAACCGTGCAAGTCATACGACAGACCTTTGTGAACGTGCACATTCTTTTCCGTGGCATTTGTGCTTTGTTCCGCCGCAATACGCTCCTCTTCGATTGCGTCTATTAGATTGTGGACCTGTCCGCAAGTGTTAACAGCATCATCGACTGCCTCTTTCACGAATACGCCGTGCCGTATCACGCGGAGAAGGTCTGAGCAAAATCAACTACCGCCTGACATGTGATTGGCGCGACGTACTGTTGATCACCTGATACGAATGGTGCCTCGGCTTCTTACGGTTCGGCGACAAAGAGAAGGACTTGTCCGGCAGCGGAGTTTTCAGATAGTCAGAATGCAACCATCTTTGAATCAACAGGACAATGATGGACGCATTTGTGCTTCGTCCTCGGCCCAGCTGGCAATTGAGTACTATAGGGGTTTTCTCGTAATCGCTTCGTACTACGATGTCCAGTATACTGGTCCTCGCGATTAGACCAGTTCAATCGTGAGGATTAATGGCTTACTCCTCAATATCCGTAACATCGGGAACATGCTCCGCGGTGATTGGAACCCTGTGGAAGCGCAGGATATCGCCATGACACTTTTTTCTCGCATCGAAAATGTCACGCAGAACAGCCACGTCGCCAGCTTCAGCTTCTTCCCAAACAGGGATGACGGTCCCATCCTCCGTTTCTGTATGAAGCAGGACCCTGCCGATATTGTCAGGTGTCAATAAACACCAGCAGATTCCTCGAAGACGCACCTTCCGCTGAAAGACCGAATCTCAGAAAGCACATCGTTCTTCAACCTGTCTTCAAGCGCTTCCAGCCGGGAAGCGGATATGCCTCCATAATCCTGAATATAGCATGAGATGCTGTTCAGCCCCAAACGATTCAGGCCTGCCTTCATGTTTCGCAGCGTAAGACCCTCTCTTCTCAAGCAATACGGGGTGCCATTGATGTACACCAATGGCTCTTCCCGTAAGTTTATCCAAATAACTGTGCCGCTATCGGCATAGGCCTCTCTCAGTCGCTCTACAACGTGATCAATCGCCTCTGTGGTCGGTTGACCAAGCGCATATATTCGGGTGCCCGGTATGTTACGGAAATTGACGGCTCCGCGGATGGTGCCCGATGTCTCTCCTGTTTCCGCTTCGTACCATTGGTCGGACTTGAGCAAAGTGCTTGCTCGGAGAATAATACCACTCCGATTCTAGCGGATCTCACTTTAGCATGAGGTTGAAGACTGTGGTTGGTGAAACAAACCTTGACCGCAAGATCGGCCCACTCATCGCCAACAACCTGACCACCGCTGATTCCAAGTTCGTTTTCGATCAGGTGGTCGATTTGTCCCTTCCGAGAGCCTCTTGATATGAGAGAAAGGTCTTCAACAGGAGCGAAGATCTCTAGTCGGTTCGCGTGACTGCGCATATATCGTACTTGACTGGGTCAACTGAATCAGAGGATGTTGACCGCCGTGAAAGGACGACACTTACTTCCAGATCTCTACTCTTGTCTGCAGCCAGGTGGAGAACGTTTCATTCTTCCTCTCCTCGACGTAGCTCGCGTAGGCGATGATGAAGAAACTGATTTGCTCTCAGCTTCTCGTCGTTTCATCGGTGCAGTCCACTCACTATTTCTCCAAGGCACGCGCCGCTCGGCCAAGGTAGTTCTGTCGCTTCTTTTCGTCCATACTTGTGAGCGAATATTTGACGCGGAGGGTGAGGATATCCTCCCGAAGATTGATTACATGGTCACCTTCACCGATATTAATATATGACATCTGACGAAGGTTGCGATGCTCACAGCTATCAATGACGGAGTCCACGACCAATTTCGCTTTCAACCCATCATCCAAGAAACCTAGGAGAGATAATACGACAGAGTAGTTTCCTATGAATGCCTTGCGCAGGTTGTCCATCAATGAGGGCTGTGCTAACAGAAGCTCGATGGCAGAGAGGGGCATCGGGTTGTGCATGCCTGGAGCAGTCATGTCAAACAGCGGAAGGTGGGGAGCAGGAGAACATACTCGTCTGGAGAATGTAGGTAATGCGCAGCAGGGCCTGACTTTGCTCCTGCTGTTTAATAGCCTGTTCTAGAGCTACAGCACCCTGGGATGTGGCGGGCTGATGGGGCATCAGCTGATAGAGGCCGGGTACACGAGCGTACTCACGGTAGATGTTCCTGTAGAAGGGACAGGGATGAAGGGATCGGAGAGACCTCTTTGGATCAACATTCTGCGGCGAAGAATACATGCAGCAACCATGGCAAAGGTAGCTAGAAGGCGTGAGTGCTCGCGTAGTAAGTAATTAACGAGGTGGACTGACTTCGCACGACCCCCATGCCGCATGAGAAAAGCAAAGACGTCTTGACGGGGTCAACGTCATGGATGATGGCGGCATATGCGTCAAGATAATTATCCTGTAGATTGAAGTGAGCCAAGAAGCATATAATGGAGGATAGTGATTTGCCTCAATAGCACGATCTGGAGAGATAGGGATACTAGAGAAAATCCGTTCAGGATGGAGGCTGCAACCTGAATTAACGGTGCTTACCGATAATACTCGACTTTCCAGCCGTCAGACACAATCTGTTCCACCACTTCTCTGGACGTGAGCACACATTTCTCGTCGATCTCAGTCCACGTGGGGAACATTTCCTCGCCTTCATCTGCCTCACGCATAAGCTAAAGGCACAATACGAGATTGTGTAGTGGCTCACTGATTTCGTGATGTGTCAAAATCATTCCACCATATCGCGATGCCTCATCTAGGATATCTTGTATGAGCCTACGCTCAATATCCTCCAGGTTCTCGACGCGGTCCGACAGAGATAGAGGATCTCGCGGTTGGGACGCGTCACGCAGTACGAAAGAGCGGTCGCCAATGTACACTTGTATCCTCTCAGATTACACATAATACACAGTAGCATTGGACGCACCTATTGGCTCCTCTCGCGTTGAGAACCACACGCATTCTCCAGAAGGTGAAGAGTCAGGACGACATCTTAATAAGGACAAGATAGCTTTCAGCCCCTGTATGCGTGGTTGGGCACAGCCAAAGACGTTAAGCCCGCCCTGACCCGCTTTACGGAAGTTCGGTGCGCCTTGTAGGTTGAGTTCGAGATCCAAGGCACGACCTGTCGTGGCATCAGCATACAGCGAATTTTGTATACTTCGAGATTATACCAGTTGGATAATGGTCCGTTTTCAGGATGAAACCGCGCGAGAGCACGCTTCCATTTCGGGATCGTACCACGGCTGGAGGTGCCTTTAGTAGATGAGTGAGAGTGCCATCAGCCTCTTTGCCATTCTGATCCGAGGCTATTCCATTCAAGGGGGTAGAATGGATGAACGATGAGAGCGTGGAGGACCGTCGTGCCAAACGTACGACGGCGTTGGTGATGGGTGTGCTGCTCCTCTGACCTCCTTGCACCATCCTTGAGAGGGATTGACGGCGAGCCAGGAGGGGCAGAGCAAGGCGGCCAGCCTGTTATAACGTGTAAGATTAGTATATACGGGCGGCTCTCCAGGAATAGGCTAGCAACTGACGGAACCCCGTCTGACGTCAAACGCCTAAGGCCACGGACCACGTGTTTATCAGCGTTCGGTGGCAATGCAGAAGAATGTCTAAATAGACAACCGCTCCGTGCAGCCTGGACAACGGAGACGAATCACTTGGGCGGAAATGGGCTTGTATTTCAAGATGTAGGTATGTGATCCTATTTATTGTAACAGAAATGGATCAAACAAGGGAATAGCCGTGAAATGTAAAACGTTATGGGATGGAAGTAGCGATAAGAACGAGAGTCGATAAAACGTGCATGTGGAATTGAGCGAAGGAAAGAAGAGTGGGTAAGGATTGACTTAGTTGTAAAGTTCCTCGTCAGCATCATCGTCATTGTTGTCAGTGGGCCCTGCGCTACCAGGTTGATGAAGTCCGTAAGCTGCAAGTGTGCCTTTGAGAGAGGCAATGCGATTGAGTGCATTGTTGCATTCTGAGGTGAGACGAGTTATGCGTTCTTGCATGTTGGCAATGTTGTGGGAGAGACTGGTGTGAGCATTTTCTTGCTGGTGGAGAGCAGTGCAATAGTCAAGGAGAATGACGTGCTGAGAATAGAGGACGTTCCAGAGGTGACGAGGATTGCCGTTGACGATTGCTTCAATGTCCAACATCTGTTCAATGGCAGTCCTGTTGTAGTGGGTGGTTCCAGTGGTTGGTGCGGGAGTTGGGACAGCAGCTTGAGGAGCTGCAGCGTTTTGACGAGGAGGAGCAGAGGGCATCATCATAGATTGCATTGGCTGGACGAGGTTGTTTTGGCAAGGTGCAGTGAGTTGGAGAAGATGAGCAGTGTGTTCAGCATCCTGTTGCTTGGCCAACACATCTACATCGAAAGTGACCTACGTGTTTGGTGAGCAAATGTTAGCAAGAGAGAGTGATATGCAGGCGCACCAGCTCCTCCTCTTCGATCGCATCCTCACTAATGCACATCCTTTTTGACTTGCATTGATCCGACCCAAAAGGTGTCCGAAATATCGGTCCAATGGGTGGTGAGCGAGAACTCGCTAGGGAAAGAGGAGAGAGAGGGGGAAAGTCAGTAGGAATGCGGGAGTCAGCCTGTAGCTGAGCTATCGAAAGTCGGTATGCAATAATCGGAGCTCAGTATACGTCCAGTCAGGTCACAATAAGTCAAGTAAAAATCCGGTAAGTCAAGTTGATGCTGCCTATCCAGTAAGGGGATAATCGGATCTGTATAACGCTAACGGAAAAGGGGCAGAATAAGCTAGATACAGGAGTTTCTGGAAATTACTTATACTAGCTACTCTAAACTACACTCAATACTAATCCAGTCTCCAGATACCTCTCCAAGGCAGATGTTGGCATGCCGAATATCCGTGTGGGTCAATCCCGTTGCGGAGGAAACCCGTAGTCATCATGCCGAATATCCGGGTGGTCTTGTCACCTGGGGAATCCTAGTAGTCATCATGCTGAATATCCGTGGGGGGGGTTGAGACTTGTTGCTGGGGTGTGTTGTCCACATAGTGAGGGTCCATAGTGCCGTGCAATGGTCTCTAAGGCCCGAAATAACTGTGGGAATACCGGCCTGACACACCCCGCTGGAGGTGGGGTTGTTCAGTGTCCTTCAGTGTCATCGTTAACATGCTTGCGGTGAGACTGGGCGAGCACATTTGCCATTTCGTTCAGAAGAGCATCAAGATCCTGGATAGAATTGTGTCAGGTAAGTAATGTATGGGAAACGAAAACATGACATGCTCTTTCTCCACGCGAAGAGTTCCTGTGCATGTATTGACGTCGAGTGTTGGCTTTGCTCATCCCCTTGTTGTCACAACTCTTGTTGTTGTCACGACTCTTGTTGTTGTTGTCATTGCATTTGTTGTTCTTGCGGTTTGAGCTAGACATGTCCTGGCTGTTGTGTATGTGGGTGAAAAGACAGTTTGTGCATAGAAAGATAGTGGAACTTACTTGTATGAAGCCGGCTGCAAATGAAAGCAGTGTAGAAAGTATGAGATAGTCGTGGGAGTTGATGGCAAAGTAAGGACAAGATATGGCGTGGTGGTTATGTGTCTCTTGGAAGTGCGGACGCAAACTGCTTCTGCAGCGGTCGCGTCAGTGCCCAGGCGGCATGGTGAGTGACAGAAAAGTGGGAAATGCATACTGTAAGAATAGAATAGGATGTCAGGCAGGTTTTAGCAGGTTATTGTGTGACATCACAGAATGCATTAAAAGACGGACAGTATAATGTTACAGTGTGCACAAGGCATGTGATGTGTCGTATGCTAACAGGGTGTCATGCGAGTTACCACCCAGTTCTCTTTTTGTGTGATCTGCAATAGCATTAGGTATGTACTCTGGAGAAGAAGAAAGAAATGTACGGTGCCATCCAGGTTGGTATAACATACAGTGTTTGCTTGAATGGTGAAGGAATATTTTCCGGCAACCTGGTCGAGAACCGCTTGAAAGACAGTGTGTTCATCAGGCTGGGGCAGAGGTTAGTTTAAGCAAATGGAAACATCAGAAATCCGCGTACATCTGCACTGTGCTGCTGGTTCCATAGCATGACTGCCCAGTCGCCAAAGAGCTGACATCTGATGAAGTCGAACGTGGTTACAACACATTCTCTGGTACCATTGTCTAAATGGAGCTGGAGGCAGTATCTATTGCGTCACATGAGAACATGGTGCAAAAGGGACATAAAAAAGGAGAATTGTACATGGAGTGCGGCTTTGTGAACCTGGTATTGCAATGGGGACAGTTCCAGAGATGCAATGTACCTGCCACGCACTTGGCAGCCTTGTGACAGTGCTTGTCCATGCATGCGTAGTAGCCAATGTCTTTGAGCAGCAGTATCTTGCAAGTTGCTACCAGAGCAAAGGTGTCGATGTCCAGCTTCTTTCCAACACAAGATAACACTTCTTTGATACACAGTTTGTCCCTAGGAGGGGCTGTATTTGTCAGTTGAGCCCCAGCAGCAGTGGTGTGTCCCAATAATAGTGTCCACTGTGTCTCCAGATTCTCCTCGTACCTGCGGAAAAATGAGGGTGGTTGAAATACACAGCTTGAAACATACCACAATTGCAGTGCTTGGTGGTCGGGATCATCATCGTTGAAATGTATATGTGTGCACTTACCAGCAGTGACAAGGCTAGGGCCGTCATGATAATCCCACTGAAGATTATTGATTGACACAGCTTCGCCTTCGTGGTTCTTGAACACTTCCCCAAGTTCCTGCCAGGTGCATAAACAAAGCATAACACTGGACTGGTCAACAATGTGGATCTTGCGGAAGTACGTGACCTGATTTGCAATGAGAGGAGATATGCGGAGGGGTCGAACACATACCTCTTTTGCCAGCAATTCACTGTGGCTGGGCTTGCAGCAGATGCCGGCACCTACAGTGACTACTATAGCGTGAATATCTTCCTCAAAGGGTAAGAAAACTGCAAGTGGTTCCCAGGGAATGGCATACCGCAGATGTCATCACTTCCCATGTCAGCAATCTTAGCGAAAGGCACAATGTCCAGGTAATGTATAGGGAGGTCGAAGTTCTGGACCAGCTCGAACTCTGTGTTCATGGAGATAGTTAGCTGAAAAAGACTCAAAGTTTTGTTATAAGCTGCCTTCGCGATGCAAACAGTGGCATTGCAAATAGAGTACACCTGGTAGAGGAAAAAAGGTGAGGGAATGACTGTGAGCATGATGACCGTACCTGACCAGATTCCAGGGAGTTTGTCACCTCAGTTGCGGAGTTGAATGCCACTGCACCTATCTTGCCCTGGCAGGGGGTGAGTAAGGGATCGTGGGCATTATGTATGTGCTTACCATGCTATCGTGAAAGGTAAGATTATGAACTCTGCCTTTGCCATTCTGTGTGTTGTAGGCATGGACGGTATCTTTTCCAGACAGGCGAGCCACGAGATAGAAACTGCATCAATTTTTAGTACAGAAAACACTGTGACTGGTATCACATACTCATGCAAATTGCTTGTCAGCTGCGATATAGTGCACTTTTGCGCCGGGACCGGCGCATGCGATGTACAACGTGGTAAGCCACTGGTTCATCTTGCAGGGGGGGATCAGAGAACATATTCACAAGGAGCTGCTCAGATCGCCTGCCGGAGGAGGCTGAACTGCTTCGAGCATGCTTCCTAGATTGGGTTCTGGCCAATGTGCTGGGTCGTTCAGTGCAGATAGCATGGCTCGGTTCTCTGATTGTGCTGTCTTCCTCTTGCAAATACAAGAGGGAGTTTATGATAAAACCCCTTCCTGTGGTGTAAGAGCATGATCACACAGGGAAAGGAGTGTACATACAATGCACCGGATGCATGCTGCAGTCTTGTAAAACGCTCCACCCTGATAAGGGACAGAGTTGTGACATTGCAGGCGCGAATAAGAGTGTTGAGGTTGTGATCAAGGGTTGCTTCTATGTAGTGGATTCCATCACTTAATTCGACACTAGACAAAAACATTAGCTAGCAACAAAACCTACTGAGGTACATACAGGTATTGTTTTGGCTCCCACAGGTGAAAGCTTTGAGCGGCGATATTTTCAATATCTGCATGACACCAGACCAGTTATCATGCAGACCTTGGATCATTGACTTGCAGGCTCCCACTGTGAGTACCATAGATGACATGGTCGTGCGGGAAGGAGAGACGCGCAGCTGGGTGCAACGCCCCATGCGCGCCACTGCAATCAAAGACAGGGCTTGGTCCGTGGGGGCAGATCCTGCTACTGTACTCTACATCTCCCTATGAGGCGTCAGGAGAAGGTCTGCTGGAGGGGGAGTCGACAGTGGTGGCCAGTACATACTAGTAGGTAGTAATAGCCAAAATCAGGCCTAATCGAATCGTGGCCTCCTAAGATAGAGTTGCTCGAATGCCAATCCGAGGAGTCTTGTGTGAGCTCCAAGGCTGGGCACAGCCGTTCAAGGGGCGTCCGAATGAGAGTGAGAGAAGGGAAAGGGCCGAATGAGGTGAACGAGAGGTATTCAAAAGTCGAGCGGTCAAATTGAGGCTCAGATCCATCTTAGAGAGAGAGCTAGACTAAGGAGTGACTGTAGAGTATAGCAGTAGTTATTAGAGTAAGCTAGAGAAACACCCGTCTTGAATGAGTGCAGTAGTGTAAGAGAGGAGTCTGAGATCCTTATCCAAAGTACCCGAGTCCGCCTATATACGTTCAGAGCTGTTCAGACCTTCAGACTACTACTAAGCTATGTGTAATCTACATTACCTAATGCTATGTCTAGGGTCCACTTCTGGCTTCCAATAGTCCGGTCCAGCCGAGTTTGAGATGCTGTTTGAAGAGATGTTCAAATGTCAGATTCAAGCTCGAAACTCGAAAGTGCAGCACACTACATGTGACATGAGCAGCAAGTCACAGCATGCATTCAAGGTTAAGTGGAAGCAGTGAAAGGAGGAACATTATTGCAAAACATAGTGTAAAAGTATATATGGAGGATGTGAACCTTTTGTACAGAGGAGATGTGTCACTTGCAGAATGCTTGCCTTTTCTATTCCTACATTATTTCAGTACATGTGGCAAGTTTATGATGCAGATCAAAGAGTTTTGAGCATACAAGGCAATAGAGTGGGTGGAGTTGTATGCTAAAATTTGGTGTGGAGAACATGCCTCATCCACTGCAACTGCCAAATGGTCCAGGCCTGTCACTTTTCCAACCATGACATCCTGTGTTTAGCTTTGATGATCTGCGCGAGCAGATCCAGGAGAGATTCACATTTAGACAATGAGGTGGAACTCAGGCAAATTGCATTGACTGGATGAGGTGCAATCATGCATAGGGGGGAGATAGATGATATGGGCAGCTTTGGATTCTGGGCAGAAAAGTGAGGAGAGTGCATCTGAAACCTGTCTGTCCCCTCCAGCTGAAGAGAAGACATGCTGAAAGAACATGCAAAGTTGAACCAAGGAGCAGGTAGCAGCACATCAATTGGATATGGACTGAAGTTGGGATGGACAACAAGATTCGGCAAGAACAGGTGGATTTGCATGGGTGTCAGTATGGTTGTGTCTGGGTTTTGTGATCTGGCATTGTGAATAACTTAAAACCAGGCTGAGATGAGACAGTATACTTACTGCACCTGTTGAATTTCTTTGCCATGTTTTTTGTCTCTGTTGCAAAGCACCATCATGCAGTCTCCATGGTCAATATTGTCAAAACAGTCGGTTAAAGTGTCCATCACATCATGAAGATTATCAAGCCACTTCTTGCACTTCATGCAAGGCATCAAAGTGCAAGATGGTGGTGGCCTGTGCACAGTCAGCAACAGCTCGTGTATGTGCAAGAGCAACAACATTGGTGGACCCAGCAAAGAACTGGCATCGAGTCCTTGGGTGTTTACTTTGATAGTAGGAGGCGACATAGAAGTACATGTGCTGGTGACTGATGTAGGCAATATAATCATGTGGTATTTGTACAATTGTGTTTATATTGATATGTTGAGACAATTCCCAGGGAATGTCCACAACAGGTAGGTGGAGAAAATTGACACTAGTCTCTTTTGTGTGAAAACCTGTGCTTTGATACATGAACAGCTTTGAATCATTACAAATAAAAGTAAGACGGTACTGCATCCAAGCCTCCATGTAAGACATTGCCCAGTTCATCTGAGTTTGAGACTGGACGCACAGGCAATCCCCACCCAAGAATGTTCAGGATGTCCATGATTTCATCCAGAGTGATATTACCATAGTCTAGACTTTGCAGGTCTGTTTTTTGCCAGTGCATGTAGCATAAGACAATGACAGCACCATTCCACTTCCCCATAAGGGAAGGCAATGGGTGTTTATAACTGCATGCTCAAGCAAGTCACTTAGGAGGCAGCATAGTCCTGTGCTCAGATATGACATGATAATGTTGTGTCTTGTGTGTACCAGTATCTGTGTCTTTGTGGTGGGTTGCAAAATAATCTGCATAAGGTCCTTGGATCAAACCATGTAAATGCATTGCATATATGGTTGGTGTTTTATTGCCTCTGAGAACAAACAAGAATGGCATGCTGAAAATAGCAGCAGGCACGTCCAGTAGAACAAAAAGGATGGTGAGACTTTCATCAGGCAAGTACTGGCCTGCAAGGAATGAGTGGATATTGTTAGGGCAGGAGAAAGGCACACTGCCGGGGTAACTTCATCCTGGTTTTGGATCACTACTGTTTCCACTATGTGATAACAAACAGGTCCCTGTGTACAGAGCTGAAGTATGTCAGCACACATTCAGATGGCAGTATGCATGAGTACTGCAGCATCCTCATTTCAAACATCTAGTATCACCTGTGGGTAGTGACCCAAATGCACCATCTTCAGTATTGTAAATAGAAAAAAATTGTGACAAAATAAGAACAGACTGAGCCAATGTTGCAAAGGCAAGTGAGACACACCAGAAACAATGTGGATGGTGTGTTGAATTACTATGCATCATGGAGAGATGAGCATCCCTGCTCAGATGAATGCATAAGAGGAAGATAACTCAGTCAGACAATGAATGCACAAGAACAGAAAATAAGAGCTTTGTTGTATGTAGCTTGAAGATATAAGTATGTTCCACCCTCTTTTGTTGATCCAGTCCAGCCAAAGTTGTCATGACAGGAAACATGCAGGTAAGCAGATGTGAACCATTGGTGGATGGTATGAGCAATTGCATAGGTTCATTTGTTGAGCTTGGTGGTCATCATGTATTTGCCAAGCAGTGAAGTGGGTACTGTGCAGTGACTACAGTGCATGGTTGATGAGCACAAAACCGGGATATATGTGGAAACACCTTGCATATGTGACATTATACCAGAGTGGAGTTGCATGAATGAAGCATGCATCAACCAATTGCCAGGAACATGTACCCATCTATGAGAAACATACAAAGTGGCATATGCACAACAGGACATTGGTCACATGAACTTTCCAGTAATGGACATTACCAGCGGTGCAATGTGGAGAGGCACTGTTGTTGTCTTGAAGTGGTCTACAAGTGAATGGTGGGTGGCGATAGACATGGAAGAAGAGGATAAGCCAGTTGTAGATGTCATGGTTGCCAGGTGAGTATGTCAATGTGAATGATCTAGGGCCATGATTGACAGACACCAGGTTCATCAATTGTATGTTGACATGCATACAAGGAGGAAAACCTGGCATCATGTGAGAGGGAGTCAATGCTGGGCACCTGAACCATTTGCTGTGCAAAAGGGTCTTGTCCATAAACATGTGCTGTACAATGGGGTCCTTTGAAATCACATGGTTGTTTATGGCAGTGCAAGGTTCCATAACAATGCTCACACCAGGATTCTGTATAGCCACAGTGCTTGAAGAGATGACCATATTTGCCTGATGACTCTCATCTTCCCATCACAATTCTCCTCTCCAAAAATGTACCCTCTGATCAAGTTACTTACCTGCATACCTCATGTCGCAAAACACTTCCAGCATGACAATCCCTATTATGTTTGAGAGCACCAGACAGCTATGCATGCAAACTCATAGCATGGAGCCAAGGTGTTCAGTCATGCATTGCAGGCCCTGCTGAATGGGGAAATATGGTACTTAGGTGAAGCAGATCATGTCACTGTGCCAAACACAAAATACTGCCAAGGTGCATAGAATGACTGCATTGAAGCATGTATTCTGAGCTAGCATAGCAGATGAAACCATTTGTCAGAGTTCTGACAGATGTGCTATTTATTGATGGGGAAGGAGAACCCAAATTGGTGTCTGTCCCCATATTTTATTCAGTGTCACCATTTCAGACTTGCAGCATCCATGCAATGTGTGTCAGAGAATGGCTGCAGGGACTGCTTGCAATTGGAAACATGTACATAAACGGTGAACATGGGGGCACTGAATACATCTTGCTGCAAGAACTCCAAATGGATACATTGCCTATGCAGGAAACATTAACACAGCAAGCATGTCTTATTATAAGAAAATGTGTTCCAGTCAGAGGATCACAAATGGAGTATGGACAAGTACGCACTGGGGACATGAACAACATTGTACAACAGTGCAAGAATGGACTGGAAGACAAGGTAGTGCCTATAGAGACTGGGACAGACATGTTTGCACTGCTGCATAGGGATGTATCTGGCCTTTGAGTAGGTGAATTACATGTATATCAAAACTCATAAGTTATGCCTTTCTCATCATTGTCATTGACTCCCTCCTGCAAAACATAAATAGCATTGATATGAAAAGTGACCTTGAATGGGCAGTCTGCCTTACTCATATCCCCTTCTGAGTGACTGTTGTTATTGAATTGCCACCTGACACATGATTCAAGGAGAACCAAATCATTTCTTTTTAGATTGGTGCAGGGATATTGATGAAGTTCTTTCTTGTGTTTCATACCTTCATGTGCATCAAACACATTCTTGAACTCTGATGCCTATTGGGACATGGTAGCCATAGGAAAAGTGAGGGAGGACTGGAAAGTACACACTGGCTTTGGTGAGTTCCAAGGCTTTTGAAAGTGACTCACCATAATGGTACCAAAAGGATTCTGTTAGGGCAACACAGGCTGACTAAGTCTGCTCACCTAAGAGTGCCAAGAGTCTAAGCAGGCAACAAGGAAGTGGAGTAGACCTGATGACTAAGACCTATCTACAGTATAGGTACCTGTGGATGATCCTAAGA